TTTTTTTTTTTTTTTTTTCCCCGGCTGCTTGGGGCAGCCAAAACCCTGGAGCCGGCCCTACTCCCGAGCAGGGCATGCTGGGAGCTGTTCCCCTCTCCCACTGAACACTGCTGCCCACCGCCCCATCAGCTGTCCGTGGTGGGTGACGTGACCCCGCTCTGCCATGTGTGAAGTTGGCAAAGCCCTCTAGGTCCCTTCCCAATGCAGGCTTGTTCTCGGTGCCGCAGCCAATCGTTCTGCTCCCGGGAGCCTGGCACCGTGTGCGAGGGGCAGGGTGAGCTGGGACACATGGTACCCGCCATGTTGTGAGCACTGTCAGAGTACAAATAATACCAGCACAGAGCGCGCCGTGTGCTGAGCACTGCCCGGGACCTCCAGCGCCGGGACGGTTCTCTGGGTGCTGGGTGCTGCCGGGCGCTGTTCTCCGGGTGCTGCTGGGTGCTGTTCTCTGGGTGCTGGGTGCTGCCGGGACCACCGTGGCGGTGTTGTTGGTGAGCCTGGCACTGCCATGGAGGGTGGGGGGAGATGCTGGAGCTAAACCAGCACCCTAAGGCAAACCGCTGGGGTTAAACACAACTTCTACCCCGGCCTTTCTGCATCCTCGTGGTCGGGCGGCCAGGAGCCATCCCGCTCCAGCTCCCTGCTGCTCAGCCAGGCCTGGCCTTCTCTCGCCTCCATGGGACGCCGAGCCCAGGGGCAGCAGCGGGGTGTGGCCTGCAGGTGCACAGTGAGTCACTCCACCAGCAAATCCTGCTGCTGCGGAAACCAGCTCCAGCGTGTCCTCCTCCGGCCCCAACCTTGGAACCTGGCAAGGCAGCGGAGACACCTCACCCGTCCTCCCGGAGCCACTCCGCCGCTGTCCCCCGGGGCTGGGCCGCGGGATCTCCGCGCTGCTCCGCCACTGTCCTGAGGGATTTGCAGACAAACCCGGGCCCGGCAGGCGGGGAGACACCAGCGGCTCCCACAGGCGGCCGGCCGGTAAGTGCGGGCTGTGTCTGCCCTGCCGCAGCCTGGCCTGGGAGGGAGCGTGGGTGCTGCCCGGAAAGCCCAGGCGGTCGGCGGCTCTGCGGGGCCCGAGCGGCAGGAAATGAGTTTCATTGTGTGGGTGGCGGCTCTGGGCCGGTGTAGTGAAGGATACTGCTTCTCGTAGGAATGTGTCCCAGCAGCAGATAAGACAACTTGGGAAACTGCTCGGCGACTCTATGCATTCAGATACAGTGATAAGGGATTCTTTGTTTCTGAGGGGATATGTGTAAAATGTTTCACTGAATTAAGTCTCAGGGATTATCTACACTGGCAAGTTAAAGTGCTCTAACTCGCTGGCTCAGAGGTGTGAAAAATCACACACACACCCCCCTGAGCGCAGCAAGTTTGAGCACTTTAAAGCGCTAGTGTGGACAGGCTCGGGTCCCAGTGCTCGGAGCTAATCCCCTCATCGAGGTGGATTACCAGGAGCACCGGCACCCGCCACAGCGCTTTGAAATGTGTAGTGTAGACATAGCCTCAGTAGGTTAGATCAGACAAAGAGGAGATGCACTGACTAGGCATTCGCATGCCTGTGCCTTTAAGAACCCAGCCCTGGGACCCTGATGCCGAGAGGTGCTGGCTGTGAGAGGGGAAATAAAAAAGCCCCTCTGCTCCCCCCACCACCATTTTTGCCATCACGGGTCCCTCAGTCACACTGGGGTAACTGCTACCCCTGTGCCCCGCCTGTGCTGGGTTTTGCCCTCTGCCACCCTCTGCCAGCGCCTCCCCACGAGCTTAACTCCTGCTCCTCCCCCCAGGCCTGGCCAGTCAATGTCCGCCCCCTGCTCCGACCCTGGGCACCCCCCTGCTCCGATTCGCCCCCTGTCAATAGCTGTCAGTAGCATCCTGCGGGGGGAAGGGCAGGGGGAAGGGCAGTGGCTTCAGCAGACGTACCGAGCATGCTCAGTACCGTGAGTAGCCTGTTCCTAGCAGAGCCGCATCCTTCACTACACCGCGCTGCGGCCGGAGCTGGGGCTCCAGGCGGAGCCTGAGCCGCTGCTGGCGAAGCGGTGGGACGGGAGACCCGCCCGGCGGTGAGGTTCAGCCCGGGGCTGGGCGTGGGGGAGCGGTGCTGGTGGGCAGGGTCTGAGCAGGGGCTGTCTGTAACTGTTAGCACGTGTGTGATCACGAGAGCACCCCGCAGACATGTACATTGCCTGCACTTCCTGAGTCTATACACGGGGCTCCCTTACACTAGTCTACTGCCCTGGCCCCTGCCCGACCATGGGCATGGTCTCTCTCTGCGTGGGTCTCACAGCCCCTGTCCTGCAGCCTGTGAGCCCCTTATTGGTATCTAAAACTAGAACTGGCAATACCTGTCTGCAGGGTTCTGTCCCAGGCCTCAGGAGCAGCATGGTGATCAGCTTACAGGGCTGTTGTTTGGGGAGTGTGCTGTGCAGGAAGGCAGGAAGCCAGACAGTGGGCCGGGCTGCAAGCTAAGGAATAGGTTTTGCGTTTAGTTCTGAGTGCAGTAAGGCCCACAGCCTCTTCTCTCATGGGGCAGTGAGTTCCATTGTCCAGCTCCATCTCTGATGAAGATTCTGTCTCCTGCACTCACAAACCTTCCAGTCGTTTCCTTGGCCCCGTGCTATGTAGCTGTCTTGGGAAATCATGTAGGGAGGGGTGATCTCTTTTTTTAATATGGAGATATACCTATCTCATAGAACTGGAAGGGACCCCGAAAGGTCATCGAGTCCAGCCCCCTGCCTTCACTAGCAGGACCAAGTACTGATTCTTGCCCCAGATCCCTAAGTGGCCCCCTCAAGGGCTGAACTCACAACCCTGGGTTTAGCAGGCTAATGCTCAAACCACTGAGCTATCCCTCCATCTCTGGGGTAGCTAGAATGATCCCAGGCAGTGCTGTGATAGCAGGACCGAGATCTTGCGCTAGGCTGTATTCGATGGGACTGGGGGTCAGTGCCACTGCCAAGAGCACAGAGGCCCGTGGCGCTCTGCTCTCAGGGACCTGCACTGCTGGAGTTTTTCCGCCGGTGTGGCTGCTTTCCTAGTACCCGCTGTAGCAACGATACAATCATTGGCAATACTTTGCCCTTCCACCAGAGGATCTCACACACCTTCTAACACTAACTAACCCTCTCAGCCCCCTGGGAGGTCAGTATTCTCCCCATGTGATGGGTGGGGAAGGGACTTGCCGAAGCGCACTCAATGGGGGACTAGGACCCAGCGGCCTGACTCCCAGACCTGCACTGTCAGCACTCCCCCGCTCTGCGGCAGTAACACTGTCAGTGGAGTCCTTGGCGTTTTGTACAGACGGGCTGTTTCTCTTTGCTTTATCCATGTCCCCATAACGGCCTCTGCTTATTCCATTGTCTGTTTCAGATCGGCTGGAGATGCTGCCTGCAGGGGAGCCCTGAGCAGGTGCTGCTGCTCATCTAACATGGCAGTGTCCCTGGGTGCCAGCCAAGCCCTCCATGAAACATTGGGGTTGCCATCCCAGGAGCAGCCAGAGTGCCGTGCTGTGTCCTGCTCGGAGGACTTTGTTTATGGGGAAGAGGATTTTGTTCTGTGTGGGGTTGGTTGGTGGAGAAGCAGGTCAGAGGGGCCAGCAAGCCGCACCATGTCTCGCTTTGACAGAGCTTTGCAGTCCGGTTGGGAGGAGAGGATGAAGCTGGGTTTGTTCAGGTATCACCTGGGGGAGCTGCAGACCCGTATCTTGCCAGGGAATGTCCGGTTTGTGGCCCAGCTGAACATCCAGAGAGGTCTGGAGAGAAGGAAACCACAGGACATCCAGAGTGTCAGGCAGAAATTCAACCCCCAGCAATTCCACTTCAATAAGATCAAACCAGGGGAAATCCTCTTCCATATGGTCAGGGACCCAAGTCCCCACCCTCCCAGCAGGGGGTGCTCTCAGTTCCAAGGGGGCCCGCCGGAGTCGAAACTCCCAGGGACACCTGACTGCATCCTAGTGGTGATTAATGTCAGCCCCTTGGAGTTTGGACATGTGCTCTTTATTCCAGACCCCACACTCTGCCTGCCTCAGATTCTCACCCAGGAGCTGCTCCAGTTCGGGCTGGAGTC